ATCTTCTTCCAGGCCTTATCTCATAGAGAAGAAAAACATTCCTTTGTTTCCCAAATCACACGGTGGGAGGGGGTCTGTGTGTGTGAGCAGACATTTCTTAAGCAAGGATTTCTTATAGTACCACAAAGCCCAGCAGGCAGAAAATATTCACACAACATATGTATTAAAGTATAAAAGTAAAATATTTATAAAACTTATAGAAATAGCGTATATATATATATTCAATAGGAAACGAAATAGGCATTTTACCAAATCCATCACAAAAACATGACAGGCTCATCATAGTAAATTCAACTGATGTTCCTGGTGGTATGGGTTAAGGACTGTCTGGCCGTCCAGCTGCAGCGTGACCCATGGAACGCAGGGATGTCAGAACTAAGATGGCTGTAGAACCTCGGGAGGAGTCATGGAATGCATACGTTGGAAGTAACGTAAGGTGTGGGGTGGTAACGTGAGCATGCGCAAAGGGCTCCTTCATCAGACCTGAGGTTCCACGACTCCTCCTGAGGTTCTACAGCCATTTTAGTTCCGACATCCCTGTGTTCCCTGGGTCATGCTGCCGCTGAACAGCCGGATGGCCCTTAACCCATACCACCAAGAACATCAGTCGAATTTACTATGATGAGCCTGTCATGTTTTGACTTCCTGTAAGTAGAATTTTATCTCTGTATGTTAATAAACTGCCAATACTACACTTAGAGGCGCCTTCTTTCCATGTCTTTTTGCACTAGAGATTTGCTTCCAACTCTGTGAAGAGCTGCCTCAGTGTCTGTTTGGCTTCTCTATCCTGGATATCCATTCTGACACCCTCCTAGTGGCTACAGAGGTCTAGTTTCAGCAGGAGCGCCCTATGGACTATACACTTAGTCTGCAAACAAAACTGACGACAAAACTTTGTCCTCTTTTTGTAGGAAGGTTGAAATACAGTATGTGGCTCCAATGAGTTAGGCCCAGGCTGGGGGAAAGAGTTAACCGTTGTACCCAAATTCCTGGGCTTTTCAACCTAACCAGCCCACCTGTGCTATAAAAGGGGGGGATGGCTGAGGTCCAAAAAAGGCAGGTTTCAGTGGGTCCAGGAGCTACAGCACCACCTGTGAGCGTAGTCATTGGTGTTGTTGAAGACCTGGATTTCTCTGAGGACATCCAGACATGGACAATGCTGTAATGGACCTTATGGAGGTAGGCCTGGGCCAATATGTCATCTTAGGATTGGGGACGGGATGTTGTTCATATTGAGCGTATGCTGCACTTGTTGAGTAAAGTCATATTTACCATTATTAGCCGGGGCTGAAGTGATTCAAAGAAGTCTATGTTGGTTCTGGCGTATTCCGGATAACTTGGGTAAGTAGAGCACTGTGGAGTGTGAAGTAACGCTGTTGCTAAAAGGTAACTCAGCAAGACAAGAGGAGTGTAGTTGTTATGGGTCTCCAAGTGAAGGTACAAACAACCATTCGTTAGGCGCAGAGGCGGACTGACAACTCATGGGGCCCCCGGGCAATAGGGGATCACGGGGCCCCCATGTCCTTGCCCAAACTCAAAAAAGCCTATGAAAAAGGTTTCCAAATGGTCAGTCCGCCCCTGGTTAGGCGTGTTACCTGGTAAGGTGACAGGTTATCTGGAAGCGAGTGGGTCGATGTTCTGGCCCCCCCCCCAGCTGTCAGAATCCAATGGCAACGAGATCCAAACCTGCATTATGGAGATCTATGGGCCTAGTCACGAGGTGCGGGATGGAAAGAGTTAAGTGAGAACACGCATGAGGTCAGTGCTGTGTGCTCGGCGCCATTCCATTCTGTTACTGGGAGGTAACCCAGGTACAGTACACTGGACTGGGGGAGTGGGTGCAGACTCAGCACGCCCCTCCTAATGCAACATACAAGTCACAGTGTAGTGACACGGGACAAGTCGCTTTTCAGAGGAACTCTGTACGTTTATTACTGCACACAGTGAAAGCTCATCTCTAAATGGGGGGAAACGCCTTAAAGGGGAACTACACGGCATCTGAGCAGCACAAACCAAAAACACTATTAATTTTTAATATTCAAAGCAAACTCCCTTATCCATCCATCCATCCATCCATCCATGTCTCCATGCTGTATTTTGCTGAGAAATCACTATGAAGAACGCCTCTCTAGCATTTCTGGCCGCAGCCATCTTAAGTCCTCATGCACACAGACATTTTTACAGCGGCTGTTTTTGGCTTTTGACATTTTTTTCTGCAGTCAGTAACCCCCCAGCATGTTATCCTATGTGTCCATGCACACATAGACTGGAATCATGTTTTTTGACTGGAAAAAACCCAGGACAAGTGGGTTCTAGAGGAGTTTTTTAGCTGTAAGAACGTTCTAATGCTGAAAAACGCGGTAAAACGACACAAACCGGAATTTTTGGACTTTTTTTAACCACATAAAATATTTTTTTTGTAAAAAAAAAAACACTAAAAAATGCAAACGTGGGAAAACGCCACTAAACGCTAATGCAAAAACGTTTTTAAAAAAAAAAAACACATTTTTAACGTGACTTTACACAGCTAACATTACCAGCATTATCAAAACGCCTGGTGTGCATGGAGCCTAAGAAAGGGCAAAGGAATTTACTTCCTGGGATCTGGAATCCATCTGCCCTTAGTTCAGGCATGCAGGAAGGTGGGTGTGCTTAGCTGAGAAAGGCCCTCCTCCCCTTCTGAAGACTCCTGGGATGTATGACACCATTTGCCTAGGCATGAAAAACAGGAAGTAAAAGAAGAAATGTAAACAAAAAAGTTTAAAACAAGTAAATATAATATACCTTCCTATCCATTTACTAATGCTAGTCAATGTTGATTGAGAGAGTGAAGTTCCACTTTAATATCGTAAATAATAACCTTGCAAATGTTTTTAATTTGTACAAAATGTTATTTTTTTAGATTTAAATAGTTTTTCACAGGAGGTGTGTAATGCTGATTCGGTGTATTCTGTTTGTTCCAACATTGTTAAATTGAACTAGAATGTGGTAATTATTATACAAGGTGTTGTATTTGCGCTGGTGAATCGAAGCACATATTCTAAGAACTTTTGATTCTAAGGGAAAATGCCCCAAAAACATTCCATCAAAAGAGAAAATATCCTAAGAACACTCAACTGTAATCATTTCAGCCATGGCTTTATATAAATGCGGGAAAATTCCCTGAAACTAGAGAGGGAATGCTGATTCACTCACACAGAATGATTGTACATGCAGTTTTTCAGGACAAATAGCTAGGACTTTTCTTATTATATACAGCTATGGCCAAAAAGCCAAATCTGACACATTTCACGCAAAACCCCAAAAATGGGCTGGACAAAATTATTGGCACCTTCTCAAATTAAGAAATAATTGCATTCCAAGTTTGTGATGCTCCTATAATTTGTAATTAAACTCACCTCTATCAATTAACAGGCGCTGACAATATAGAAATCACACCGGCAACCAGTTAAAAATGGTGAAAAATTGACTCAACCTTTCTGTTGTGTGTCTCTGTGTGCCACATAGAGCTTGGAGAAGAGAAAGCAGCGAGGAATTGTCTGAGGATTTGAAACCAAAAATTGTGGAAAAGCATGGACAATCTCAGGGTTACAAGTGCAACTCCAGAGCTCTTAACCACATGCGCCCCAGCCACTGTATAAAGAGTAACGCAGACTTCAGCCAATCAGAGCACTCCACAAGATCGCTGGTGGCACTAAGAGCACTATGCAGAAAGTATAGAAAATCGCTCAGCCAATCAGAGTCCAGCATGAGATCAGCCAATCAGAGTCCAGCATGAGATCAGCCAATCAGAGCTCAGCATGCCATCAGCCAATCAGAGCCCAGCGTGAAATCAGCCAACCAGAGCCCAGCCAGAGATCAGCCAATCAGAGTGCAGCATGAGATCACCCAATCAGAGCCCAGGGAGAGATCAGCCAATCAGATCAGCCAATAAGAGCCCAGTGTGAGATCAGACAATCAGAGTCCAGCGTGAGATCAGCCAATCAGAGTCCAGCGTGAGATCAGCCAATCAGAGCCCAGCGTGAGATCAGCCAATCAGAGCCCAGCGTGAGATCAGCCAATCAGAGCCCAGCGTGAGATCAGCCAATCAGAGCCCAGCGTGAGATCAGCCAATCAGCGTACAGTGTGTGAGATCAGCCAATCAGAGCCCACCGTGAGATCAGCCAATTAGAGCCCAGTGTGAGATCAGCCAATCTGGGCTCCATACTCCAAAACATGGCTTCTCTCTCTCCTTCCTGTTCTCTCCAACTCTAGGAAAGTGTAATCACAGAGAGACAGAGACCGTCCAATCACAGAGAGACACAGACCATCCAATTAAAGAGCGGCCCAGACCGTCCAATCACAGAGCAGCGAAGACCGTCCAGTCACAGAGCAGACCATACCGTCCAATTACAGAGCGACAGAGACCATCCAATCACAGGTCGGCACAGACCGTCCAATCACAGAGCGGACCATACCATCCAATCACAGAGCGGCACAGACCGTCCAATCACAGAGCAGCACAGACCGTCCAATCACAGAGCAGCACAGATCGTCCAATCACAGGTCGGCACAGACCGTACAATCACAGAGCTGTTCTCCGAGACTTTCAATGGACTGAGGATAGTGCTGGGCCACTGAGAGGGCCCCAACCTCGCCGACTGTTTACAATGAATGGATCCACCTCTCCTCCTCCCCACCTCACCTCCACCTCTCTGTACTTAGCAGTTTATATGTACTAACATAATGTAATTTCCATGTTCTGTGTACTGTGGGAGACCAGATATAGTGAATGCCGGGTCCGGGGAGACCAGATATAGTGAATGCCGGGTCCGGGGAGACCAGATATAGTGAATGCCGGGTCCGGGGAGAGCGGATATAGTGAATGCCGGGTCCGGGGAGACCAGATATAGTGAATGCGGGGTCCGGGGACACCGGATATAGTGAATGCCGGGTCCGGGGAGACCAGATATAGGGAATGCAGGGTCCGGGAAGACCAGATATAATGAATGCCGGGTCCAGGGAGACCGGATATAGTGAATGCGGGGTCCGGGGAGACCAGATATAGTGAATGCAGGGTCCGGGGAGACCAGATATAGTGAATGCAGGGTCCGGGGAGAGCGGATATAGTGAATGTTGGGTCCGGAAAGACCAGATATAGTGAATGCGGGGTCCGGGGAGACCAGATATAGTGAATGCCGGGTCCGGGGAGAGCAGATATAGTGAATGCAGGGTCCGGGGAGACCAGATATAGTGAATGCCGGGTCCGGGGAGACCAGATATAGTGAATGCAGGGTCCTGGGAGACCAGATATAGTGAATGCAGGGTCCGGGGAGACCAGATATAGTGAATGCAGGGTCTGGGGTTTAGTAACACTTTATTGCATACTCTGCATTAAGGTAAAAGACCGTCCAATCACAGAGAGATACAGACCGTCCAATCACAGAGTGGCCCACACTGTCCAATCACAGAGAGACACAGACCGACCAATCACAGAGGGCCCAGACCGGTCCAATCGCAGGTCGGCACAGACCGTCCAATCACAGAGCAGACCATACCATCCAATCAGAGATAGACACCGACCGTCCAATCACAGAGCGGCACATACTCTCCAATCACAGGTCGGCACAAAACGTCCAATCACAGAGCGGACCAGATGGTCCAATAACAGAGTGGACCATACTGTCCAATCACAGATAGACACGACCGTCCAACCACAGAGAGACACAGACCATCCAATCACAGAATGGCAAAGACCGTCCAATCACAGAGCAGCACAGACCAGCCAATCACAGAGCAGCACAAACCGTCCAATCGCAGAACGGCACAGACCATCAAATCACAGTGCGGCTAAGACCGTCCAATCACAGAGCGGCCCAGATTGTCCTATCACAGAGAGATACAGAGGTTGGCACAGACCGACCAATCACAGGTCAGCACAGACCGTCCACTCACAGAGCGGCACAGACCGTCTAATCACGGAGCGGCACAGACCGTCCAATCACAGGTAGACACATACTGTCCAATCACAGAGCAGCCCAGACCGTCCAAAACCAGGGCAGCACAGACCGTCCAATCACAGAGTGGCAAAGACCGTCCAATCACAGAGCGGCAAAGACCGTCCAATCACAGGTAGACACATACCGTCCAATCACAGAGCAGCACAGACCGTCCAATCATAGAAAGACACAGACCGTCCAATCGCAGAGAGACACAGACCGTCCAATCGCAGAGAGACACAGACCGACCAATCGCAGAGCGGCCCAGACCGTCCAATCGCAGAGAGACACAGACCGTCCAATTGCAGAGCGGCCCAGACCGTCCAATCACGGAGAGACACAGACCGTCCAATCACAGGTAGACACATACCGTCCAATCACAGAGCAGCACAGACCGTCCAATCACAGAGCGGCAAAGACAGTCCAATCACAGAGCGACCCAGACCGTCCAATCGCAGAGAGACACAGACCGTCCAATCACAGGTCGGCCCAGATCGTCCAATCGCAGAGAGACACAGACCGACCAATCATAGGTCAGCACAGACCGTCCACTCACAGAGCGGCACAGAGCAGACCAGATCGTCCAATCACAGAGCAGACCATACTGTCCAATCACAGAGAGGCCCAGACCATCCAATCGCAGAGCACCCCAGACCATCCTATCAGAGCGTGGCATACACCGTCCAATCACAAAACGACAGAGACCGACAAATCACAGGTCGGCACAGACTGTACAATCACAGAACGGCACAGATCGTCCAATCACAGGCGGTACAGTCCGTCCTTTCACAGAGCGGCACAAACACTCCAATCAGAGGTCGGCCCAGATTGTCCAATCACAGAGCGTCCCAGACCGTCCTATCACAGAGAGACACAGACCGTCCAATCGCAAAGTGGCCCAGACCGACCAATCACAGAGCGGTCAAGACCATCCAATCACAGAGCGGCACAGACCCTCCAATCACAGGGTGGCACAGACCGTCGAATCACAGGGCGGCACAGACTGTCCAATCGCAGAGCGGCACAGACTGTCAAATCACAAAACGACAAAGACCATCCAATCACAGGTCAACACAGACCGCCCAATCACAGAGCGGTACAGACCGTCCAAACACAGGGCGGCACAGACCGTCCAAACACAGGGCGGCAAAAACCATTCAATCACAGAGCGGCACAGACCGTCCAATCAAAGAGCGGTACAGACCGTCCAATCAAAGAGCGGTATAGACTGTCCAATCAAAGAGCGGTACAGACCGTCCAATCACAGAGCAGCCCAGAACAGCCTTTCACAGAGAGACACAGAGCGGCATAGACCGTCCAATCACAAAGCGACAGAGACCGTCCAATCACAGGTCAGCACAGACCGTACAATCACAGAGCGGAACAGACCGTCCAATCACAGATAGACACAGACCGTCCAATCACAGAGCGGTCCCAGACCGTCCAATCACAGAGCGGCCCAGACCGTCCAATCACAGAAAGACACAGACCGTCAAATTACAGAGAGACGCAGACCCTCCAATCACAGAGCGGCACAGACCGTCCAGTCACAGATAGACACAGACCGTCAAATTAAAAAGAGACACATTCCAATCACAGAATGGCACAGACCGTCCAATCACAGAGCAGCACAGACCGTCCAATCACATGTTAGCACAGACCGTCCAATCACAGAGTGGACCAGACCGTCCTATCACAGAGAGACACAGACCCTCCAATCACAGAGCGGCAAAGACCGTCCAATCACAGAGCGGCACATAGTGTCCAATCAAAGGTCGGCACAGCCCATCCAATTCAAAGCGGACCAGACCGTCCAATCACAGGTCGGCACAGACAGTCCAATCACAGAGCGGCAAAGACTGTCCAATCAAGGAATGGCAGAGACAGTCCAATCACAGAGTGGCACAGACCGTCCAATCACAGGTCAGCACAGACAGTCCAATCACAGAGCGGCAAAGACTGTCCAATCAAAGAACGGCAGAGACAGTCCAATCACAGAGTGGCACAGACCGTCCAATCACAGAGCGGCAGAGACCGTCCAATCACAGAGCGGCACAGACCGCCCAATCACATGTTAGCACAGACCGTCCAATCACAGAGCGGACCAGACCGTCCTATCACAGAGAGACACAGACCCTCCAATCACAGAGCGGCACATAGTGTCCAATCTCAGGGCAGCACAGACCATCCAATCACAGAAAGACACAGACCATCCAATCACAGAGCGGCACAGACCGTCCAATCACAGAGCTGTTCTCCGGGACTTTCAATGGACTGAGGATAGTGCTGCCACTGAGAGGGCCCCAACCTCGCCGACTGTTTACAATGAATGGATCCACCTCACCTCAACCTCCACTTGACCTCACCTCCACATCTCCTCCTCCCCACCTCGCCTCAATTCCACGTCCACCTCTCTTCCACCTCCTCTCCACTCGACCTTTCCTCAACCTCTCGGTATTTAGCAGTTTATATGTACTGAAATAATGTCATTTCCATGTTCTGTGTACTGTGGGAGACCAGATATAGTGAATGCCGGGTCCGGGAGAGAGCGGATATAGTGAATGCAGGGTCGGGGAGAGCGGATATAGTGAATGAGGGGTCCGGGGAGAGCGGATATAGTGAATGCGGGGTCCGGGGAGAGCGGATATATAGTGAATGCGGGGTCCGGGGAGAGCGGATAAAGTGTGAATGCGGGGTCCGGGAGACCGGATATAGTGAATGCGGGGTCCTGGGAGACCGGATATAGTGAATGCGGGGTCCGGGGAGACCGGATATAGTGAATGCGGGGTCCGGGGAGACCGAATATAGTGAATGCAGAGTAGGGGAGACCGGATATAGTGAATGCAGGGTCCGGGGAGACCAGATATAGTGAATGCAGGGTCCTGGGGAGACCAGATATAGTGAATGCAGGGTCCGGGGAGACCAGATATAGTGAATGCAGGGTCTGGGGAGACCAGATATAGTGAATGCAGGGTCTGGGAGACCAGATATAGTGAATGCAGGGTCCGGGAGACCGGATATAGTGAATGCCTGGTCCGGGGTGACCAGATATAGTGATTGCCAGGTCCGGGGTTTAGTAACACTTTATTGCATACTCTGCATTAAGGTAAAAGACCCTCCAATCACAGAGAGACACAGACCATCCAATCACAGAGCGGCCCATACTATCCAATCACAGATAGACACTGATTGTCCAATCACAGAGCAGCACAGACCGTCCAATTACAGAGAGACGGAGACCTCCAATCACAGGTCAACACAGACCGTATCCGATCGCAGAACGACACAAACTGTTGAATCACAGAGTGGCCCAGACTGTCCAATCAAAGAGACACAGACCATCCAATCACAGAGCGGCACAGACCGTCCAATCACAGAGGGGCACAGACCGTCCAATCACAGGGACGGCACAGACCCTCCAATCACAGAGCTGTTCTCCGAGACTTTCAATGGACTGAGGATAGTGCTGGGCCACTAAGAGGACCCCAACCTCGCCGACTGTTTAATCACAGAGGGCACAGACCGTCCAATCACAGAGGGCACAGACCGTCCAATCACAGAGGGGCACAGACCGTCTAATCAGTGTTCTCCGGGACTTTCAATGGACTGAGGATAGTGCTGGGCCACTCAGAGGGCCCCAACCTCACCGACTGTTTACAATGAATGGATCCACCTCACCTCCACCTCTCGGTATTTAGCAGTTTATATGTACTAAAATAATGTCATTTCCATGTTCTGTGTACTGTGGGAGACCAGATATAGTGAATGCAGGGTCCGGGGAGACCAGATATAGTGAATGCCGGGTCCGGGGAGACCAGATATAGTGAATGCAGGGTCCGGGGAGGATGGATATAGTGAATGCAGGGTCCTGAGAGACCAGATATAGTGAATGCAGGGTCCGGGAGTCCGGATATAGTGAATGCAGGGTCCTGAGAGACCAGATATAGTGAATGTGGGGTCCGGGAGTCCGGATATAGTGAATGCAGGGTCCTGAGAGACCAGATATAGTGAATGCAGGGTCCGGGGAGGATGGATATAGTGAATGCAGGGTCCGGAGAGAGACCAGATATAGTGAATGCAGGGTCCAGGGAGACCAGATATAATGAATGCAGGGTCCGGGGAGACCAGATATAGTGAATGCAGGGTCCGGGGAGACCGGATATAGTGAATGCAGGGTCCGGGGAGAGTGGATATAGTGAATGCAGGGTCCAGGGAGAGTGGATATAGTGAATGCAGGGTCCAGGGAGAGTGGATATATAGTGAATGCAGGGTCCAGGGAGAGTGGATATAGTGAATGCAGGGTCCGGGAGACCAAATATAGTGAATGCAGGGTCCGGGGAGACCAGATATAAGTGAATGCGGGGTCCGGGGAGACCAGATATAGTGAATGCAGGGTCTGGGGAGACCAGATATAGTGAATGCAGGGTCCAGGGGGAGACCAGATATAGTGAATGCAGGGTCCGGGGAGACCAGATATAGTGAATGCAGGGTCCGGGGGGAGACCAGATATAGTGAATGCGGGGTCCGGGAGACCAGATATAGTGAATGCGGGGTCCGGGAGACCAGATATAGTAAATGCAGGGTCTGGGGAGACCAGATATAGTGAATGCAGGGTCCGGGGTTTAGTAACACTTTATTGCATACTCTGCATTAAGGTAAAAAACCCTCCAATCACAGAGAGACACCGACCGTCGAATCACAGAGCGGCACAGACCATCCCAATTACAGAGAAACGCAGACTGTCCAATCACAGATAGACACGGACCGTACCAATCACAGAGCGGCACAGACCATCCAATCACAGGTCGGCACAGACCGTCCAATCACAAGAGACACAGACCGTCCAATCACAAGAGACACAGACCCTCCAATCACAAGAGACACAGACCCTCCAATCACAGAGTGGCACAGATCGTAAAAATCACAGAGAGACACAGACCTTCCAATTATAGAGCGGCCCAGATCGCCCAATCACAGAGCGGGAACATACTGTCCAATCAAAGATAGAAACAGACCGTCCAATCACAGAGCGGCCCAGACTGTCCAATCACAGAGCGGCCCACAGACCGTCCAATCACAGAGCGGCCCAGACCGTCCAATCACAGAGCGGCCCAGACCATCCACTCAACAGAGCGGCACAGACCCTCCAATCACAAGTCAACACAAACTGTCTAATCGCAAAGTGCCAAAGACCGTCCAATCACAGAGCGGCACAGATCGTGCAATCAAAAAACGACAAAGACTGTACAATCAGGTCAACACAGACTGTCCAATCACAGATAGACACAGACCGTCATATCACAGAGCGGCACAGACCATCCAATCACAGGGCAGCACAGACCGTCCAATCACAGGTCGGCACAGACTGTCCAATCACAGAGCTGTTCTCAGGGACTTTCAATGGACTGAGGATAGTGCTGGGCCACTGAGAGGGCCCCCCAACCTCGCCGACTGTTTACAATGAATGGATCCACCTCAACTTTCCTTAACCTCTCCTCCACTTCACCTGTTTTCCACCTCTCGGTATTTAGCAGTATATATGAACTAATAAACAGGTCGGCAAAAACCGTCCACTCACAGAGCGGCACAGACTGTCCAATCACAGAGAAGACCACACACCGTCCAATCACAGAGCGTCACAGACCGTCCAATCAGAGAGAGACACAGACCGTCCAATCACAGAGCGGAATAGACCGTCCAATCACAGAGCGGCACAGACCCTCCAATCACAGAGCTGTTCTCCGAGACTTTCAATGGAGTGAGGATAGTGCTGGGCCACTGAGAGAACCCCAACCTCGCCGACTGTTTACAATGAATGGATCCACCTCATCTAGCAGTTTATATGTACTAAAAAACAGGTCGGCAGAAACCGTCCACTCACAGAGCAGACCATACCGTTCAATCACAGACAGACACAGACACTCCAATCACAGAGTGGCACAGACTGTCCAATCACAGAGAGACACAGACTGCCCAATCACAGAGAGACACAGACCCTCCAATCACAGAGCGGCACAGACCGTCCAGTCACAGATAGACACAGACCGTCAAATTAAAAGAGACACATTCCAATCACAGAATGGCACAGACCGTCCAATCACAGAGCAGCACAGACCGTCCAATCATAGAGCGGTAGACACCGTCCAATCATAGGTCAGCACACACCGTCCAATCACAAAGTGCCACAGACCCTCCTATCACAGGAAGCAGCAAAGACCGTCCAATCACAGAGCGGCACATAGTGTCCAAATCACAGAGCGGCCCAGACCGTCTTTTCACAGAGAGACACAGACCGTCCAATAATAGAGCGGCCAAGACTGTCTAATCACAGAGCGGACCATACTGTCCAACCACAGAGAGACACAGACCGTCCAATCACAGAGCAGCACAAACCGTCCAATCGCAGAGTGGCCCAGTTTGTCCTATCACAGAGAGACACAGAGGTTGGCACAGACCGTCCAATCGCAGAGCGGCCCAGATTGTCCAATCACAGAGCGTCCCAGACCGTCCTATCACAGAGAGACACAGACCGTCCAATCGCAGAGTGGCCCAGTTTGTCCTATCACAGAGAGACACAGAGGTTGGCACTGACCGTCCAATCGCAGAGCGGCCCAGATTGTCCAATCACAGAGCGTCCCAGACCGTCCTATCACAGAGAGACACAGACCGTCCAATCGCAAAGTGGCCCAGACCGACCAATCACAGAGCGGTCAAGACCATCCAATCACAGAGCGGCACAGACCCTCCAATCACAGGGTGGCACAGACCGTCCAATCACAGGTCAGCACAAAACTGTCCAATCGCAGAGCGGCACAGACTGTCAAATCACAAAACGACAAAGACCATCCAATCACAGGTCAACACAGACCGTCCAATCACAGAGCGGCACAGACCGTCAAAACACAGGGCGGCAAAAACCATTCAATCACAGAGTGGTACAGACCATCCAATCAAAGAGCGGTATAGACCGTCCAATCACAGAGCAGCCCAGAACATCCATCCTTTCACAGAGAGACACAGACCACCGTCCAATCACAGAGCGGCATAGACCGTCCAATCACAAAGCGACAGAGACCGTCCAATCACAGGTCAGCACAGACCGTACAATCACAGAGCGGAACAGACCGTCCAATCACAGATAGACACAGACCATTCAATCACAGAGCGGCCCAGACCATCCAATCACAGAGCGGCCCAGACCGTCCAATCACAGAAAGACACAGACCATCAAATTACAGAGAGACGCAGACCCTCCAATCACAGTCCAATCAAAGGTCGGCACAGACCATCCAATCAAAAAGCGGACCAGACCGTCCAATCACAAAAGATACAGACCGTCCAATCACAGGTCGGCACAGACAGTCCAATCACAGAGCGGCAAAAGACTGTCCAATCAAAGAACGGCAGAGACTGTCCAATCAAAGAACGGCAGAGACAGTCCAATCACAGAGTGGCACAGACAGTACAATCACAGAGCAGCCAAGACCATCCAATCACAGAGCGGCACAGACCTTCCAATCACAGGTCGGCACACATCGTCCAATCACAGACCGGCACAGATCGTCCAATCACAGAGCAGCACAGACCCTCCAATCACATGTTAGCACAGACCGTCCTATCACAGAGAGATACAGACCCTCCAATCACAGAGCGGCAAAGACCGTCCAATCACAGAGCGGCACATAGTGTCCAATCTCAGGGCGGCACAGACCGTCCAATCACAGAAAGACACAGACCGTCCAATCACAGAGCTGTTCTCCGGGACTTTCCAATGGACTGAGGATAGTGCTGGACCACTGAGAGGGCCCCAACCTCGCCGACTGTTTACAATGAATGGATCCACCTCACCTCCTCCCCACCTCACCTCCACATCTCCTCCTCCCCACCTCTCCTCCATTCCACGTCCACCTCTCTTCCACCTCCTCTCCACTCCACCTCACCTCCACCTCTCGGTATTTAGCAGTTTATATGTACTAAAATAATGTCATTTCCATGTTGTGTGTACTGTGGGAGACCAGATATAGTGAATGCCGGGTCCGGGGAGACCAGATATAGTGAATGCAGGGTCCGGGGAGACCAGATATAGTGAATGCAGGGTCCGGGGAGACCGGATATAGTGAATGCAGGGTCCGGGGAGACCAGATATAGTGAATGAGGGTCCGGGGAGACCGGATATAGTGAATGCAGGGTCCGGGGAGACCGGATATAGTGAATGCAGGGTCCGGGGAGACCGGATATAGTGAATGCAGGGTCGGGGAGACCGGATATAGTGAATGCCGGGTACGGGGAGACCGGATATAGTGAATGCCGGGTCCGGGGAGACCGGATATAGTGAATGCAGGGTCCGGGGAGAGCGGATATAGTGAATGCAGGGTCCGGGAGAGCGGATATAGTGAATGCCGGGTCCGGGGAGAGCGGATATAGTGAATGCCGGGTCCGGGGAGAGCGGATATAGTGACTGCAGAGTCCGGGGAGAGCGGATATAGTGAATGCAGGGTCCGGGGGGGAGAGCGGATATAGTGAATGCAGGGTCCGGGGAGACCGGATATAGTGAATGCAGGGTCCGGGGAGACCGGATATAGTGAATGCCGGGTCCGGGGAGACCGGATATAGTGAATGCCGGGTCCAGGGAGACCGGATATAGTGAATGCAGGGTCCGGGGAGAACAGATGTAGTGAATGCAGGGTCCGGGGAGAACAGATGTAGTGAATGCAGGGTCCGGAGTTTAGTAACACTTTATTGCATACTCTGCATTAAGGTAAAAGACCCTCCAATCACAGAGAGACACCGACTGTCCAATCACAGAGCGGCCTATACCTTCCAATCACAGAGAGACACAAACCGTCCAATCACAGAGCTGCACAGACCGTCCAATCACAGAGCTGCACAGATTGTCTAATCACAGAGCGGCACAGACCGTCCAATCACAGAGCGGCCCAGACTGTCCAATCACAGAGCAGACCATACTATCCAATCACAGATAAACACAGACCGTCCAATCACAGAGCGGCACAGACCGTCCAATTACAGAGAGGCCCAGACCATCCAATCACAGAGCAGACGATACTATGCAATCACAGAGAGACACAGATCGTCCAATCACAGGTCAGCACAGACCCTCCAATCACAGAGCTGCACAGACTGTCTAATAACAGGGCGGCACAATCCCTCCAATCACAGAGAGCAGTACAAACCATCCAATCGCAGAGCGGCACAGACCGTCCAATCACAGAGAGACACAGACCCTCCAATCACAGAACCGCACAGACCATCCAATCACAGAGCAGACTGTCCAATCACAGAGCAGACCAGACCGTCCAATCACAGAGGCCCAGACCATCCATTCAGAGAGCGGCATAGAACGTCCATTCACAAAACGACAAAGACCGCCCAATCACAGAGCAGCACAGACCGTCCAATCACAGGGCGGCACAGACCGACCGTCCAATCACAGGGCGGCACAGACCGTCCAATCACAGAGCTGTTCTCCGGGACTTTCAATGGACTGAGGATTGTGCAGGGCCACTGAGAGGGCCCCAACCTCACCGACTGTTTACAATGAATGGATCCACCTCACAGACCCCACTCTACCTCTTCTCCACCTCTTGGTATTTAGCAGTATATATGTACTAAAAAATAGATCGGCACAAACCGTCCACTCACAGAGCGGCACAGACCGTCCAATCACAGATAGGCACAGACCGTCTAATCACAGAGTGGCCCAGACTGTCCAATCACAGAGAGACACAGACTGTCCAATCCAGGGGCGGACTGACAACTCATGGGGCCCCGGGCAATGGGGATCATGGGGCCCCTGTGTCCTTGCCCAAACTTAAAAAAGCATATGAAAAAGGTACCAAGGGCATCTCATGGGGCCCCCTACTGACCTCAGGGCAGTGCCACAGAGTTTCTAAATGGTAAGCCCGCCCCTGGTCCAATCACAAACCGACAGAGACCATCCAATCACAAAGCGGCACAGAGCATTCAATTAGACAGTGGCCCAGACCGTCCAATCACAAAGCGGCACAGACCGTCCAATTACAGAAAGACACAGATCGTCCAATCACAGAGCGGCACAGACCGTCCTATTACAAAGAGACACAGACAGTCCAATCACAGAGCGGCAGACACCGTCCAATCACAAAGCGGCACAGACTGTCCAATCACAGAGCGGCACAGACCGTCCAATGACCTCTCTTCCACCTTTCCTCCACTCCATTTCACATCTTTTCCACCTCATCTCCACTCCACTTCTCGGTATTTAGCAGTTTATATGTACTAACATAATGTCATTTCCATGTTCTGTGTACTGTGGGAGACCAGATATAGTGAATGCCGGGTCCGGGAGACCAGATATAGTGAATGCAGGGTCCGGGGAGACCAGATATAGTGAATGCACAGGGTCCGGGGAGACCAGATATAGTGAATGCAGGGTCCGGGGAGACCGGATATAGTGAATGCAGGGTCCGGGGAGACCAGATATAGTGAATGCAGGGTCCGGGGAGACCGGATATAGTGAATGCAGGGTCCGGGGAAGCGGATATAGTGAATGCCGGGTCCGGGGAGACAAGATATAGTGAATGCGGGGTCCGGGGAGACAAGATATAGTGAATGCAGGGTCCGGGGAGACCGGATATAGTGAATGCAGGGTCCGGGGAGAGCGGATATAGTGAATGCCGGGTCCGGGGAGACAAGATATTGTGAATGCAGGGTCCGGGGAGAGCGGATATAGTGAATGCGGGGTCCCGGGGAGAGCGGATATAGTGAATGCCGGGTCTGGGGAGACCGGATATAGTGAATGCGGGTCCGGGGAGAACAGATGTAGTGATTGCGGGGTCCGGGGAGACCGGATATAGTGAATGCAGGGTCCGGGGAGACCGATATAGTGAATGCAGGGTCCGGAGAGACCGGATATAGTGAATGCAGGGTCCGGGGATACCGGATACAGTGAATGCAGGGTCCGGAGAGACCGGATATAGTGAATGCAGGGTCCGGGGAGACCGGATACAGTGAATGCAGGGTCCGGGGAGACCGGATACAGTGAATGCAGGGTCCGGGAGACCGGATACAGTGAATGCAGGGTCCGGGGAGACCGGATACATACAGTGAATGCAGGGTCCGGGGAGACCGGATACAGTGAATGCCGGGTCCGGGGAGACCAGATACACAGTGAATGCAGGGTCCGGGAGACCAGATATAGTGAATGCCGGGTCCAGGGTTCAGTAAAACTTTATTGAATACTCTGCATTAAGTAAAAGATCCTCCAATCACAGAGAGACACAAACCGTCCAATCAGAGAGAGACACAGACCGTCTAATGAGAGAGCGGCTCATACCGTCCAATCACAGATAAACACAGACCGTCCAATCACAGAGCAGCACAGACCGTCCAATTACAGAGAGACACAGACAGTTCAATCACAGAGTGGCACAGACCATCCAATAACAGAGCGGCACAGACCCTCCAATCACAGAGCGGCACAGACCGTCCAATCACAGGTCGGCAAAGACTGTCCAATCAGAGAGTGGCACAGACCCTCCAATCACAGAGCGGCACATAGTGTCCAATCTCAGAACGGCACAGACAGTCCAATCACAGAAAGACACAGACCATTCAATCACAGAGCGGCAGAGACCGTCCAATCACAAAAGACACAGACTGTCCAATCACAGAGCTGCACAGACCGTCCAATCAAAGAGCTGCACAGACCGTCCAATCACAGAGCAGGCCATACCAATAGAAACAGACCGTCCAATCACAGATAGAAACAGACCGTCCAATTACAGAGAGGCCCAGACCGTCCAATCACTGAGAGAAAGAGACCGTCCAATCACAGAGAGACAGAGACCGTCCAATCACAGAGCGGCCCAGACCGTCCAATCACAGATCGGCACAGACTGTCCAATCATAGAGCGGCCCAAACCGTCCAATCACAGAGCGGCACATAGTGTCCAATCTCAGAGCGGCACAGACCGTCCAATTACAGAGCGCACACAGACCCTCCAATCACAGAGCGGTACATAGTGTCCAATCTCAGACCGGCCCAGACCATCCAATCTCCACCTCACCTCTTCTCCACCTCTCGTTATTTAGCAGTTTAGACCTAGACCGTCCAATCACAAGAGACACAGACCGTCCAATCACAGAGCTGCACAGACCGTCCAATCACAGATCGGCACATACTGTCCAATCATAGAGCGGCCCAAACCGTCCAATCACAGAGCGGCACAGACCGTCCAATCACAGAGCGGCAAGGACTGTCCAATCACAGGTTGGCACAGATCGTTCAATCAATCACAGAGCGGCACAGACCGTCTAATCACAGAGCGGCACAAACCCTCCCATAACAGGTCGGCACAGACCGTCCAATCACAGAACAGACCATACTGTCCAATCACAGATAGCCAAAGACCAGCCAATCACAGATAGACACCAACCATCCAATCACAGAGCGCACAGACTGTCCAATCACAGAGCGGCAAAGACTGTCCAATCACAGGTTGGCACAGACCGTTCAATCACAGAGCGGCACAGACCGTTCAATCACAGAGCGGCACAGACCATCTAATCACAGAGCGGCACAAACCCTCCAATAACAGGTCGGCACAGACCGTCCCGAGACCGTCCAATCACAGAGCAGACCATACTGTCCAATCACAGAGACACAGACCGTCCAATCACAGATAGACAGCAACCGTCCAATCACAGAGCGGCACAGACTGTCCAATTACAGAGAGACGCAGACAGTCCAAATCACAGAGCGGCACAGATCCTCCAATCACAGGACGGCACAGACCGTCCAATCACAGACAGAGTGACAAAAAAACATCGAATCACAGAGCGGCCCAGACCGTCCAATCACAAAAGACACAGACTGTCCAATCACAGAACTGCACAGACTGTCCAATCACAGAGCAGACCATACTGTCCGATCACAGAGCGGCACAGACCATCCAATTACAGAGAGGCACAGACCGTCCAATCACTGAGAGAAAGAGACCGTCCAATCACAGATCGTCACAGACCGTCCAATCATAGAGCGGCCCAAACCGTCCAATCACAGAGCGACATGGACCTTCCAACCACAGAGAGACACAGACCATCAAATCACAGAATGGCATAGACTGTCCAATCACAGAGCAGCACAAACCGTCCAATCACAGAGCAGCACAAACCGTCCAATCACAGTGCGGCATAGACCGTCCAATCACAGAGAGCGGCCCAGATTGTCCTATCACAGAGAGACACAGAGGTTGGCATAGTGCGGCATAGACCGTCCAATCACAGTGCGGCATAGACTGTCCAATCACAGAGCGCTCCAGATCGTCCAATCTAAGGTCGGCACAAACCGTCCACTCACAGAGCGACACAGACCATCTAATAACAGAGTGGCCCAAACCGTCCAATCACAGAGAAGCACAGACCGTCCAATCACAGAGACACAGACCATCCAATCACAAAGCGACGGAGACCGTCCAATCACAGAGTGGCACAGACCGTCCTATCACAGAGAGACACAGACCATCCAATCACAGAGCGGCACAGACCGTCCAATCACAGAGCGGCACAGAACGTCCAATCATCATAGAGCGGCACAGAACATCCAATCACAGAGCGACAGAGCGGCACAGACCGTCCAATCACAGGTCGACAAAGACCATCCAATCACAAAGCAGCACAGACACTCCAATCACAGAGCGGCACATAGTGTCCAATCTCAGAGCGGCATAGACCGTCCAATCACAGAGCAGCACAGACCAGCCAATCAAAAAGCAGCACAAACCGTCCAATCACAGAGCTTCACAGACTGTCCAATCGCAGAGCGGCACAGACCGTCCAAATCGCAGTGCGGCACAGACCGTCCAATCGCAGTGCGGCACAGACCGTCCAATCACAGAGCGGCACAGACCGTCCAATCACAGAGAGAGACAGACCGTCCAATCACAGAGCGGCACAGACCGTCCAATCATAGGTCGACAAAGACCATCCAATCACAAAGCAGCACAGACACTCCAATCACAGAGCGGCACATAGAGTGTCCAATCTCAGAGCATAGCGGCATAGACCGTCCAATCACAGAGCAGCAAGACCAGCCAATCACAAAGCAGCACAAACCGTCCAATCACAGAGCTTCACAGACTGTGCAATCGCAGAGCGGCACAGACCGTCCAATTGCAGTGCGGCACAGACCGTCCAATCAAAGAGAGACACAGACCGTCCAATCACAGAGAGAGACAGACACTGCAATCACAGAGCGGCACAGACCGTCCAATTACAGAGATACACAGACCGTCCAATAACAGAGCGGCACAGACTGTCCAATCACAGAAGCGGCACAGACCGTCCAATCACAGGTCGGCAAAGACTGTCCAATCACAGAGCGGCACAGACCCTCCAATCATAGAGCGGCACATAGTGTCCAATCTCAGAACGGCACAGACCATCCAATCATGGAGCTGTTCTCTGGGACTTTCAATGGACTGAGGATAGTGCTGCCACTTAGAGGGCCCCAACCTCGCCGACTGTTTACAATGAATGGATCCACCTCACCTCCACCTCTCAGTATTTAGCAGTTTAAATGTACTAAAATAATGTCATTTCCATGTTCTGTGTACTGTGGGAGTCCAGATATAGTGAATGCAGGGTCCGGGGAGTCCAGATATAGTGAATGCAAGGTCCGGGGAGACCGAATATAGTGAATGCAAGGTCCGGGGAGACCAGATATAGTGAATGCAAGGTCCGGGGAGACCGGGTATAGTGAATGCAGGGTCCGGGGAGTCCAGATATAGTGAATGCAGGGTCCGGGGAGACCGGATATAGTGAATGCAGGGTCCGGGGAGACCGGATATAGTGAATGCAGGGTCCGGGGAGTCCAGATATAGTGAATGCAAGGTCCGGGGAGACCGGATATAGTGAACGCAGGGTCCGGGGAGACCGGATATAGTGAATGCCGGGTCTGGGGAGACCGGATATAGTGAATGCAGGGTCCGGGGAGACCGGATATATAGTGAACGCAGGGTCCGGGGAGACCGGATATAGTGAATGCCGGGTCTGGGGAGACCGGATATAAGTGAATGCCGGGTCCGGGGGTTTAGTAACACTTTATTGCATACTCTGCATTAAGGTAAAAGACCCTCCAATCACAGATAGACACCGACCATCCAATCACTGAGCGGCCCAGACCGTCCCTATCACAGAGAGACAAGACCGTCCAATCACAGAGCAACCAAGACTATCCTTTCACAGAGCGACACAGAACGTCCAACAACAGAGCAGCACAGACCGTCCAACCACAGAGCGGACCATACCGTCCAATCACAGAGCGGCACAGACCGTCCAACCACAGAGCGGCACAGACCGTCCAATCACAGAGCGGCACAGACCGTCCAACCACAGAGCGGCACAGACCGTCCAATCACAGAGTTGCACAGACCGTCCAATCCAATCAAAAACTGGCACAGACCGTCCAATCACAGAGAGACACAGACCATCCAACCACAGAGCGGCACAGACCGTCCAACCACAGAGCGGCACAGACCGTCCAACCACAGAGCGGCACAGACCGTCCACCACAGAGTGGGCACAGACCGTCCAACCACAGAGCGGCACAGACCGTTCAATCACAGAGCGGACATACCGTCCAATCACAGAGCGGCACAGACCGTCCAATTACAGAGAGGCCACAGACCAGTCAAATCACAGAGCGGCACAGACTGTCCAATCACAGAGCGGACAGACCATGTAATCACAGAGAGACACAGACCGTCCAATCACAGAGCAGTACAAACCGTCCAATTACAGTGCAGCACAAGCCGTCCAATCACAAAACAGCACAGATTGTCCAATCACAGAGCGGCAAAGACCGTCCAATCACAGAGCGGCACAGACCGTCCAATCATAGAGCGGCAGAAAACCGTCCAATCACAGAGCAGCCCAGACCGTCCAATCACAGATCAATACAGACCGTCAATCACAATCACAGACAGTCCAATCTGTTCTCCAGGGATATTCAATGGACAGAGGATCAATAGGTGCTGGGCCACTCAGAGGGCCCCAACCTCCGCCGACTGTTTACAATGAATGGATCCACCTCTCCTACTCCCCACCTCATCTCCACTCCACTTCTCGGTATTTAGCAGTTTATATGTACTAAAATAATGTCATTTCCATGTTCTGTGTACTGTGGGAGACCAGATATAGTGAATGCAGGGTCCGGGGAGACCGGATATAGTGAATGCAGGGTCCGGGGAGACCGGATATAGTGAATGCCGGGTCCGGGGAAACCGGATATAGTGAATGCAGGGTCCGGGGAGACCGGATATAGTGAATGCAGGGTCCGGGGAGACCGGATATAGTGAATGCAGGGTCCTGGGAGACCGGATATAGTGAATGCCGGGTCCGGGGAGACCGGATATAGTGAATGCCGGGTCCGGGGAGACTGGATATAGTGAATGCAGGGTCCGGGGAGACCGGATATAGTGAATGCAGGGTCCTGGGAGACCGGATATAGTGAATGCAGGGTCCTGGGAGACCGGATATAGTGAATGCCGGGTCCGGGGAGACCGGATATAGTGAATGCAGGGTCCGGGGAGAGGGTCCGGGGAGACCGGATATAGTGAATGCAGGGTCCCGGGAGACCAGATATAGTATAGTGAATGCAGGGTCCTGGGGAGACCAGATATAGTGAATGCCGGGTCCGGGGAGACCGGATATAGTGAATGCAGGGTCCGGGGAGATCAGATATAGTGAATGCGGGGTCCGGGGTTTAGTAACACTTTATTGCATACTCTGCATTAAGGTAAAAGACCCTCCAATCACAGAGATACAAAGACCATCCAATCACGGGGAGACCGGCCCATACCGTCCAATCACAGATAGACATCGACCGTCCAATCACAGATAGACACAGGACCGTCCAATCACAGGTCGGCACCGACCGTCCAATCACAGAGAGACACAGACCGTCCAATCACAGAGAGACACAGACCGTCCAATCACAGAGAGATACAGACCCTCCAATCATAGAGCGGCACATAGTGTCCAATCTCAGAACGGCACAACCATCCAATCATGGAGCTGTTCTCTGGGACTTTCAATGGACTGAGGATAGTGCTGCCAATTAGAGGGCCCCAACCTCGCCGACCTGTTTACAATGAATGGATCCACCTCACCTCCACCTCTCAGTATTTAGCAGTTTAAATGTACTAAGACCGGAATGTCATTTCCATGTTCTGTGTACTGTGGGAGTCCAGATATAGTGAATGCAGGGTCCGGGGAGTCCAGATATAGTGAATGCAAGGTCCGGGGAGACCGGATATAGTGAATGCAAGGTCCGGGGAGACCAGATATAGTGAATGCAAGGTCCGGGGAGACCGGGTATAGTGAATGCAGGGTCCGGGGAGTCCAGATATAGTGAATGCAGGGTCCGGGGAGACCGGATATAGTGAATGCAGGGTCCGGGGAGACCGGATATAGTGAATGCAGGGTCCGGGGAGTCCAGATATAGTGAATGCAAGGTCCGGGGAGACCGGATATAGTGAACGCAGGGTCCGGGGAGACCGGACAATAGTGAATGCCGGGTCTGGGGAGACCGGATATAGTGAATGCAGGGTCCGGGGAGACCGGATATAGTGAACGCAGGGTCCGGGGAGACCGGATATACCGTGAATGCCGGGTCTGGGGAGACCGATATAGTGAATGCCGGGTCCGGGGTTTAGTAACACTTTATTGCATACTCTGCATACAGAGGTAAAAGACCCTCCAATCACAGATAGACACCGACCATCCAATCACTGAGCGGCCCAGACCGTCCAATCACAGAGAGACAAGACCGTCCAATCACAGAGCAACCAAGACCGTCCAATCACAGAGCGACACAGAACGTCCAATCACAGAGCAGCACAGACCGTCCAACCACAGAGCGGCACCAGACCGTCCAATCACACATCACAGCGGCACAGACCGTCCAACCACAGAGCGGCACAGACCGTCCAATCACAGAGCGGCACAGACCGTCCAACCACAGAGCGGCACAGACCGTCCAATCACAGAGTTGCACAAACCGTCCAATCATCACAAAACTGGCACAGACCGTCCAATCACAGAGAGACACAGACCGTCCAACCAAAGAGCGGCACAGACCGTCCAACCACAGAGCGGCACAGACCGTCCAACCACAGAGCGGCACAGACCGTCCAACCACAGAGTGGCACAGACCGTCCAACCACAGAGCGGCACAGACCGTTCAATCACAGAGCGGACCAGACCGTCCATCACAGAGCGGCACAGACCGTCCAATTACAGAGAGGCCCAGACAGTCAAATCACAGAGCGGCACAGACTGTCCAATCACAGAGCGGACACGACCATGTAATCACAGAGAGACACAGACCGTCCAATCACAGAGCAGTACAAACCGTCCAATTACAGTGCAGCACAAGCCGTCCAATCACAAAACAGTACGGATTGTCCAATCGCAGAGCGGCAAAGACCGTCCAATCACAGAGCGGCACAGACCGTCCAATCATAGAGCGGCAGAAACCGTCCAATCACAGAGCAGCCCAGACTGTCCAATCACAGATCAATACAGACCGTCCAATCACAGAGCTGTTCTCCGGGATATTCAATGGACAGAGGATAGTGCTGGGCCATCTCAGAGGGCCCCAACCTCGCCGACTGTTTACAATGAATGGATCCACCTCTCCTACTCCCCACCTCATCTCCACTCCACTTCTCGGTATTTAGCAGTTTATATGTACTAAAATAATGTCATTTCCATGTTCTGTGTACTGTGGGAGACCAGATATATAGTCGGGAGAATGAATGCAGGGTCCGGGGGGGAGACGGATATAGTGATGCAGGGTCCGGGGAGGATATAGTGAATGCAGGGTCCGGATATAGTGAATGCCGGGTCCGGGGAGACCGGATATAGTGAATGCAGGGTCCGGGGAGACCGGATAGTGAATGCAGGGTCCGGGGAGACCGGATATAGTGAATGCAGGGTCCCGGATATAGGAATGCAGGGTCCGGGGAGACCAGATATAGTGAATGCCGGGTCCGGGGAGACCGATATATAGTGAATGCGGGTCCGGGGGAACCTGGATATATAGTGAATGCAGGGGTCCGGGGAGACCGGATATAGTGAATGCAGGGGGTCCTGGGAGACCGGATATAGTGAATGCAGGGTCCGGGGAGACCGGATATAGTGAATGCAGGGTCCGGGGAGACCGGATATAGTGAATGCCGGGGTCCGGGGAGACCGGATATAGTGAATGCAGGGTCCGGGGGTCCGGGAGATCGGGATATAGTGAATGCAGGGTCCGGGGAGACCAGATATAGTGAATGCCGGGTCCGGGGAGACCAGATATATGAATGCAGGGTCCGGGTCCGGGGAGTCCGGGGAGACCGGATAGATATAGTGAATGCGTCCGGGTCCGGGGTTTAGTAACACTTCATTGCATACTCTGCATTAAGGTAAAAGACCGTCCACTCACAGAGATACAAAGACCGTCCAATCAAGCGGGTAAAAGACCCTCCAATCACAGAGATACAAAGACCGTCCAATCACATAGCGGCCAGACCGTCCAATCACAGGATAGACATCGACCGTCCAATCACAGATAGCACACCGACCGTCCAATCACAGGTCGGCACACACAGACCGTCCAATCACAGCACAGACCGTCCAATCACAGGTCGAGCACAGACCGTCCAATCACAGAGAGACACAGACCGTCCAATCACAGAGAGACACAGACCGTCCAATCACAGAGAGACACAGACCCTCCAATCACAGAGAGACACAGACCCTCCAATCACAGAGAGACACAGACCATCCAATAACAGAGCGGACCATACTGTCCAATCACAATAAAATACGGTGTACCCTTCCCTTGTTCACAAACTTCAACAAACAAGAAATCAGCCCAGCCAGACCTCCAGAAATCCTCAGCAGATCCTCTCCTCGAGCGGCCATTTTGGATCCTGGAAATCTCTGATCCACAGGAGAGGATCTGCTGAGGATTTCCGGAGGTCTGGCTGGGCTGATTTCTTGTTTGATGGCAATTTTAAAGATGAAGATATATGTAAGCACATGAATAAAGTATATTCTGTTTACGTTTTTACAGAATTACACTATTGTGGTTCCATTTTTGGGGGGCATCGCTTGGAGACTGATGTGGGGAGGAGTATAATACTGCGGCTGTGAAGATCCCTCTGGAGGAACTCATTATATATCAGTACCCGGCCTGGAGGATTACCAAGCTGGGGGTTTATATATATTTTTGGTAAAGGTGTATTTAATTTGCACACTCTAGAAGTGGACACGTTTATCACAGTTTTTATCACTAGATTGTTTCACAGGCACGTGTTTACACAGCTATTCTCCTTCCCATATAGTGATCACCAGTGTTTTTGTGTGAATCACATGCGTTATGGAATGAATATTCAAGTTGTTACGGATAATACACGATGTGCGTTTTCCTCTCTCTTTTTTTTTGAGGTTTTTTGGTTTCAGAAATCACTTTGGAGGCTGTCTTCACCTGGAGGTTGATTTTGAGATTTTTGAATGATTTGATATTTTGAAGGACTATTTTTATTATTTTGGGACTTGTGTGTTTTTTGTTTTTGTTTAGAGCACTTATTATATTTTGTATTTATATATACTTAGGATACTAAGCATACTTCATACTGTCCAATCACAGATAGATACGGACCGTCCAATCACAGAGAGACACAGACCGTCCAATCAAAGAGCAGCACAGACCAGCCAATCACAGAGCGGCACAAACAGTCCAATCACAGAGCGGCACAAACAGTCCAATCACAGAGCGGCACATAGTGTCCAATCACAGAGCGGCACACAATAGACCTCCCAATCACAGAGAGACGCAGACCGCCCAATCACAGAGAGACGCAGACCGCCCAATCACAGAGAGACGCAGACCGCCCAATCACAGAGAGACGCAGACCGCCCAATCACAGAGAGACGCACATAGTGACGCAGACCGCCCAATCACAGAGAGACGCAGACCGCCCATCACAGAGAGACGCAGATCCAATCACAGAGCGGTGCAGACCCTCCAATCACAGAGAGTGCACAGAGCGGTGCAGACCGCCCAATCACAGAGAGACGCAGACCAGATCACAGAGAGACGCAGACCGTCCAATCACAGAGAGACGCAGACGCCACATGTAGGGACTGCGAAACTGCAATGCCGGACTTCTGGGGTTTAGATAAACTTGAAACGTGTCCAGTCTGTGTATGTCTTGTGATCTCACGCTGCGCTCTGATTGGCTGAATTCACGCTGGACTCTGATTGGCTGATCTCACGCTGGTCTCTAATTGGCTGATCTCGCACTGGACTCCGATTGGCTGATCTCACGTTGGGCGCTGATTGGCTGATCTCACACTGCGCTCTGATTGGCTGATCTCGCGCTGCGCTCTGATTGGCTGATCTCACGTTGGGCGCTGATTGGCTGATCTCACACTGCGCTCTGATTGGCTGATCTGCGCTCTGATTGGCTGATCTCACGCTGCTCTCTGATTGGCTGATCTCACGCTGCTCTCTGATTGGCTGATCTCACGCTGGGCTTTGATTGGCTGATCTCACGCTGGGCTTTGATTGGCTGACCTCACACTGGGCTCTGATTGTCTCATCTCACGCTGGGCTCTGATTGCTGATCTCAGACTGGGCTCTGATTGGATGATCTCAGACTGGGCTCTGATTGGCTGATCTCACGCTGGGCTCTGATTTTCTGATCTCATGGAGTACTCTGATTGGCTGATTGCACGCTGCGCTCTGATTGGCTGATCTCATGCTGGACTCTGGCTGATCTCATGGAGTGCTCTGATTGGCTGATCTCACGCTGGCTCTGATTGGCTGATCTCATGCTGCTCTCTGATTGGCTGATCTCACGCTGGGCTCTGATTGGCTGATCTCATGCTGGCACTGATTGGCTGATCTCACGCTGTGCTCTGATTGGCTGATCTCACACTGCGCTCATGAGTGCCAACATGCAATCTTGCGGAGTGCTCTTTGGCTGAAGGCTGCGCCTACACTGTGGGCTCTGATTGGCTGCTCTGATTGCTCTGATTGGCTGATCTCACGCTGGGCTCTGATTGGCTGATCTCTCAGGCTTGGCTCTGATTGGCTGATCTCACACTGCGCTTTGATTGGCTGATCTCACGCTGGTGCTCTGATTGGCTGATGTCACGCTGGACTCTGATTGGCTGATCTCACGCTGGACTCTGATTGGCTGATCTCACACTGGGCTGTGATTGGCTGATCTCACACTAAACTCTGACTGGCTGATCTCACGCTGGGCTCTGATTTGGCTGATCTGCACGCTGGGCTCTGATTGGCTGATCTCACGCTGGGCTCTGATTGGCTGAGCTCTGATTCTGACTTTGTGGTGGGCTCTGATTGTCTCTGATCTCACGCTGGGCTCTGATTGGCTGATCTCACGCTGGGCTCTGATTGGCTGATCTCACGCTGGGCTCTCTGGCTGATCTCACGCTGGCTCTGATTGGCTGATCTCTGATTGGCTGATCTCTGGGCTCTGATTGGCTGATCTCACGCTGGACTCTGATTGGCTGATCTCACGCTGGGCTCTGATTACTGATCTCTAGCTGGGCTCTGATTGGCTGATCTCATACTCGGCTCTGATTGGCAGATTCACGCTGGGCTCTCTATTGGCAGGTCTCACACTGGGCTCTGATTGGCTGATCTCACGCTGGGCTCTGATTGGCTGATCTCACGCTGGGCACTTTGGCTGATCTCACGCTGTGCTCTGATTGGCTGATCTCACACTGGGCTCTGATTGGCTAAGGGATTTCCTATACTTTCTGCATGGCGCTCATTGTGTCATCAGCGATCTCTCATGGAGTGCTCTGATTGGCTGAGGGCTGTTACACTTGGTGTGTTTCCTATGATAGTTGGCTCCATCTAGTGGCTGTATTGATATACTTACCTTCCTGTTTGATTTATTTCAGGAGAATTCCGCATTGTGTCCTCTAGATGGGGCTGGCGATCACAATACACACCAAGTGTAGCGCAGCTCTCAGCCAATCAGAGCACTCCGTGAGATCGCTGGTGACACAATGAGCGCCATGCAGAAAGTATAGGAAATCCCTCAGCCAATCAGAGTCCAGTGTGAGATCAGCCAATCAGATCCCAGCGTGAGATCTGCCAATCAAAGTCCAGCATGAGATCTTTCCAATCAGATCCCAATGTGATTTCTGCCAATCAGAGCACAGCGTGAGTTCAGCTTATCAGAGCCCAGTGTTAGATCTGCCAATCAGAGCCCAGTGTAAGATCTGATCTCACAGTGGGCTCTGATTGGGATGATCTCATAGAGTGCTCTGATTGGCTGATCTCACACTGCGCTCTGATTGGCTGCTGATATCTCGCTGGGCTCTGACTGGCTGATCTGCTGCTGGGCTCTGATTGGCTGATCTGCTGCTGGGCTCTGATTGGCTGATCTGCTGCTGGGCTCTGATTGGCTGATCTCACGCTGTGCTCTGATTTGCAGATCTCACAAATGGCTCTGATTGGCTGATCTCACGCTGGACTCTCATTTGCTGATCTCAGACTGAGCTCTGATTGGCTGATCTCATACTGGGCTCTGATTGGCAGATCTTACGCTGGGCTCTGATTGACAGATCTCACACTGGGCTCCAGTCGTTAAAATACAGCAAATATTTAATAAACCAATAATTTGGACACCTTAATAATTTGATCACCACTTAATAATATTCCTTTAGTTCTTTTACCAATATGATTTCGTTACCATATACACAAAATTTGCCTTTTTAATAAATAAATAAATACATTTATTTATGTACAAATATTTATATATATTAATACAAACGCACAATACTGGTGATGAATATATTCATACACACAATCAAAGATATAGTATGTTTATCTCTACGGGATCATACAAGATATGGTTATCAAATGACTTTAAAACACATTTTGAGGGGTTAGTTGCAACCTATTGTGCTTCAGATATTATTTCCAATTTCCTGCGGCCGTAGGGAAATAAGAAAGTATCTCTGATAATTAGCACCACCAAAAATACTACAAATCAGTTAGTATGCAGTATATAATCTCAATACCAATACTCAAACAGTTACATTAATAATAATTCAGATATCCTTTATACATTCCTAAACCACACAATAAAATGTTGTAAATCTTAATAAGTTTGAAATATAAAAGAAAATATTTTGGCACAGTCTCACCCCCCCGAATTTCGATTTTTGAGGCCTCCTAGTGGGATACAGTTTGGAAAAGAAAATGTTTCTGGTCAGTCAGGCACCAGAATTTAAATCAGCAACAGCGTCTCTGGCGAAAATCTTTTCCTTCAAAATGGCAGCTG